GCTGTCATTTTACGTGGCCTACCGCTTTGTGGCTGAGTTGCTGTTGTTCCCAGTTGCACAGGTGACAACCTATCACGGTACCACGCTTGTAGTCACTGAGCTCCTGAGAGCGACCCGTTCTTTCACAAATGTTTGTAGAAGCGTCTGCGTGCCGAGTTGCGTGATTTTATACACCGGAGGCCATGGAGGAGATTAAACACCTGAATCCAATGATTTGGAGGGGTGTCCCAATACTTTTGGCAATATAGTGTATGTCCTCCCCACCCACAATCATAAGACGGAGGCTCGAAGGTGATCCACCTGACAATCTATTACACAATCCGTGTGCATTATATGACTAAGAGGTTGTAGACATCTTTCCACATTCACACACATGTTATATATCAAGCTGCCCCAGCATGGGGCAATTACATACCATGACCTACTTCCACTGCGTCCAAGCAAATGTACGGGTCTGAAGGTCTACTATTCAGAACGTCAGGAAGGAGAGATATTCACACGAGTGAATCCTGAAGGCAGGAGGGGTGTGACGTGTACGTTATCGCTTTCACTTTCATTCCCAGAAGGAGCGTGAACTAGGAAGTGTCTGTCATTTATTACCATCAGATAAGATTGCTCCTCAGTAGAGCTGCAGCTAACGATTATTTTCAAAATCGATTAGTTAGCCGATTATTACGTTCGATTAATCGGTTAATCGGATAAACAATAAAATACATTTTTAAAAATGGCTCCAATGATGGGACTACTAGTTTGTATTGAGGTTGTAGTCCATCACAGGAGAAAGCTTGGAGCGGTGGAAGTAAAAAAGAAAAAATGAGTGTGATGCGGGGAGGAGGTGCAGCGTGTAGAGCGTGGATGCGGGCGGGCCTGGCAGCGGCGAGTGTGAGGTGGGGAGGAGGTGCGACGTGCAGCATGTGGGAAGCCATGAACAGGGCCAACTGATCGGAAGCCGATTAATCGATTATTGAAAAAGTTGACAACTTTTTCAATAATCGATTATAATCGATTATGTCGATTAGTTGTTGCAGCCCTACTCCTCAGTACCATGTTGGACCACCTGTGGCCCTGACATCACAAACTGTGTCTTGTGCATGACATAGGAAGGGGCCTGAAGTGTCCTGATATCTGTCTGTGACACAACTGCCTCTATGAACGCTGAAGTGCAGGTGGGGTCCGACCATTCTTTAATGCCCTTAAAGCCCAACTGCGGGCGATTTTTTTTTTTTAACCTTAAACTGCCCCCCAGCTGGTAAAATGGAGCCCAGAGATGGGCTTTAAGAGGAAGCGTGATGTATAAGGATGAAATTTGGTCTCAAGAGAACCTGTCTGTATTTAGAGAGCATCAGAAAAGGATCAGACAACTTCCAACACCAGCATATGGAAACCAACCCCCCCCCCCCCTCTCAGAGCTGTCGATCTCCTCCAGCCTCTTTCAGCCACTTCCTGCATGCACTTGCTCCAGTGATGGCTGCACCTCATTGCTCTGGATCAGCTTCCTGATAACCGTGACCACGGTGCACCGTGCCTGCACAATGTGGGTTGGCACAGGTGCTTGTAATCTCCAGCAGAGGGCACATCTGACAAGGTGACAACGCAGAAGAACTATTGGTAAACAGTTGTCACTCTATAACAGGAGGTTCCTGAACAGGGACCGGCGCAGAGAAAGGGACCGGCGCGGCAGTTTTACCAGGGATTATATGCATACTACTGAAAAGCAGTGATTGGGATACATCTACTTGAAGTTCAGTCCAAAGGTATGACAGCACATGCCAAGCTGACCCTCATGGGGGTGCAGTTGCCATCAGGATTCAGTGGTCCAGCGCGGACGTGGCTCAGCCTGCCGCATGGATTGGACATGTGTGACCACCTTTAAATCTACCTGCCGATCATCAATTGATTGACTCTTCCTATTCCCGACACAAGCTGTCCAGCCCCCTCCAGCACCCAATATCATCACAAGGGACCCATCCACCTACCTGACTCCAATGTCTCCTCTCACCCTCGCAGTCCTCCGGCTTATGATGATGTGGAGGAAGGAGTGAGGGATTTATTGGAGGAGGAGGAGGAGGAGAGCGAGCCTGTAAATCCGGCCGCATTCCTGGTAAAGCCTCACACCCGACACACCCAACTACACACCACAGGGTGACAGGAGGGGGAAGACGAAGGGTTAATGGTGGAGGATCAGCGTGTACACCGTCACACCTCCGGAGCACCGGCCCGGGACGTTCCACGTCTGAGGAAAGACTCAGTGATGTGACTGTGGGGGGAGGGGGACATTAGAGTGTAAGCTCCTCTGTACAGAGACTGATGTGACTGTGGGGGAGGGGACATTGGAGTGTAAGCTCCTCTGTACAGAGACTGGTGTGACTGTGGGGGAGGGGGGACAGTAGAGTGTAAGCTCCTCTGTACAGAGACTGATGTGGCTGGCTGAGTGCTCTCTGTACTGCGCTGCGGTATATGTCAGAGCTATATACATGGCGGGTCTGTAGACAGAAGTACATGATTTATGACCTGTGGTCGGGCACCACCCACATCCGGAGGTCTGTCAGCCTGTAATCTGTAGAACCTAAATATAGACTAAAGCTGATTATAAGGCAGAAGACAGGAAAGCCGGGCGTACAGCCACAGTATACCGAGCCCGTCTATAGGCTCATTAGGGTCACATGACCATCTATATTGACCATTGACTCAAAAGACACAAACACATCACTTTTCCTGCATAATGGAAGGCAGGCGGTGATCATGTGATCACAGTGCTGTCTCATTAGCGTATTATTAGTCGCCATGCGTTGAATGTAAAGCGTGACCAAATCACAATGAAGTCTCATTTTACTAATTAAACTTCGGCCCGGATGTTCCAATCACCATAACGACCCCAAGCAAAAGTGCAGGACGTTTTAAAATACAAAAACTGCAACACAGCCATCGCTCAGACTACTAGAGCTAAATTCCCCCCATTCATGGCAGGTCACAATGAAGATGAGAGTTCACACGAGGACAAATGGAGAGCTATGAGCAAAGATTAATGAGCAACCTCGGCCCTCCAGCTGTTGTGTAACTACAAATCCCATGAGGCATTGCAAAACCCCGACAGCCACAGGCATGACTCCCAGAGGCAGATGCATCATGGGACTTGTAGTTTCACCACAGCTGGACAGCCGAGGTTGCACTCCCATTGAAGTCAATGGGCCTGAAAACGTGCAAGTAACACAACATCGTGTGAACGGGCACCACTGAAAACAAGAGGATTCTGCACATTGAGGGAGAAGTTATCAAAACTGGAAAAGGCAGAAACTAAAGCAGTTGCCCATGGCAACCAATCGGCTTCTCTCTTCAGTTTGTTCAGTTAAGACCTGAAAATGAAAGGTAGAAGCTGATTGGTTGCCATGGGCGACTGCTCCTGTCTGCTGCAGTATTGATATATACCTCTCATTGAGCTTTATCGCACTAAAAACAGGCACCTGATCATGTGATCACCGTGACAGCCAATCACACGATCGGGAAGCCCAAGAAACGCATCTGGCTTTAAGATTTTCTTAAAGGGCCGGCAGAACGAGAGGTCATGTGATGGTCGGGTAGATTGAGAGGGAGGCGATGGACTGATGGGGGTCGGACGGACACTGGACGCCGATAAAGGGCTTCCTAACAAAAACAGGAAATGAGGCGAGGTCTGATTTATAATAACGGTTCCCTTTTGTTTGAAATAAGATATTTTAAATCCTAAATACGGAAAGCGCGCGTCTAATTTTATCTCCATCAGCAGCCGCGCCGTCCCATGTCCATGTCATGTGTATATACAGAGTGCGACTTCCAGGGTGAAATGTTACAACATACAGCCGCCTTCCAGCAGCTGCGTAGCCAGAACTCTGCTCTGTGCTGGACATCGAAGGTATACAACATACGAGCCATACAGGGGCCCTCATCCTTGGTGGCCCAGACAGGGGCCCTCATCCTTGGCGGCCCAGACAGGGGCCCTCATCCTTGGCGGCCCAGACAGGGGCCCTCATCCTTGGACTATATACTGGTAGGTTAGGCAGGAATCGGGGGGCTGGGACAGCAGGGTTGGGGTTAAAGGTCAATGTCACCTGGTTGGTGGGGGATAGTGGCGGAGAACCATTTTCGATATTAGCCCTAGTTCACACCTGAACGTTTTGTGGCGCGTTCCACGCTCGACGAACGCTCTACAAAACGCTCAAAAATATAAATTGCATTGTAGTCAATGGGTCTGGTTCCCACCTTGGCGTATTTCCGCCCGTCCCTAACGCGCTACAAAACGGCCCACGCCTGAAAAGGTACAGGTACTACTTTGGGCCGTTTTGTTGCGCGTTTCCATTGGGATACAGCCAAGTAGCCTTCGGAAACGCGCGACAGACGCGGTAAAAACGCGCGACAGACGCGCATATGCAATACGCCTAGGTGTGAAGGAGACCTAATAGGAGGGCGGCGGAGGCCGCGTCTTGTCACCACTTCCATACGCATTTTTTTTTTACTACTGTCCAGTTTGTATACAATTACCAGATCAAATTTCACTCCACCCCCCCACCCCCCTATGGCGGCCTGTGTCTCCTACCTCCCCTCCATTCTTCTGCTGCAGTCTCCATGTGACCACTCCAGGCATGTCGGATTCCTGTCCGCATCCCCCCCTATCCCCCCAATGTGCCATGGTCCATCCTGCAACCCCTACTTCACTACAAGTCAGAGGAAGGAACCACGGCACAAGGAGGGGGACGCAGAATGCCGGCGCTGCCAGGACTGATGGAGACCGCAGTTGTGAGCTAGTCTGTCCTCTCCCAGTCTCATTACAGGGGACTGATATGCTAGAGCATCCCAGCTGTGGTGAAACTACAAATCCCACTATGCCCCTGGGAGTCATGCCTGTGGCTGTCAGAGGCTCGCAATGCCTCCTGGGACTTGTAGTTCCACCACAGCCGGAGTGCCGAGGTTGCCCAACCCTGAACTACAGTCTGAAGTACTATTTAAAGCGTATGAACATACACAGGAATAACGGATGGGTTTTATCTGCCAGCGGTACCGCTTTCACCTTAACTCCTCCCTTGCAGCACCGGAATCCTGGGCTCAGGTCCCGGCTAGGATCGGAGAACCCGGCACATTCAGAGGAATTCCCACACACAGGAGAGGCTGATGTCCCAGCATTCCCCGCCCATCTAATAACATAGACTGGCACCAAGGCAAGCTGAGACATGTAGTTCCCCCACATCTGCACACCCAGTAAGGTTTAGGTATAAGTGGATACAATGTAATCTATAGGGGGCAGAGGGGGCAACA